GCAGAGTGCTGCATAATTATAAATTATGTGATCAAGTCTGTATAGTGGTCCTTTGGGTTCAAAGAAGAAGCACTGGTGCAATTATCCATGGACACAGATATGGCTCTGTAGTCCCAGTCTGCAGGTGCAGAGTCTAGCACAATGGGGGAGGGGGGAGGCACTGGAAATACACCGTTGTACCGTAGTAACTATCGGTGTTACACTATGATGCCATTCACAGATTTCCATCAGTTTTTGACAGTGCTGTCTTCAAAGCTGATGGAAGCTTCATAGTGCAGGGCTAGCCAGTAGATTCTGTCAGCAGCCACAGTTTCTAGTTCCTTTGGCTGGATGTCACAGTGACCCAAGGTTTATTTTGCAGCATCTTTGAGCAATTGCATGGTCAACCTTTTGAGGTCTTTTCCCAGATTCCAGTATGCTATAGAGCAGCTGGTAAGGCATATGATGGTAATCCATTCTGGTGACATGTTGCACTCATAATCATCTGGGTTTTATTTTTATTTTTTTTAAACAAATTTTTATTGATTTTCACAAAACAATACACAAACAAACAAAGCATAGAATGTAATAACATAAGAGATCTTTTCTGAAGAGATCAATAAAAGATCTTATTTAAAGACAGAATAATTTCAAATTATCACATTTCCATACAAGCACAATTTAGTATATATATTTACCTTAACTATTCAGCTTCATATCTTATCCCAACTTCTCTTTGTTTCTCTCTTCCTTCTATTATTAAAATTATATTTCTTTTACTTTAGATTGTATACATTCTTTATATCCATCTGTCTTATTTACAATTTCATTATTCTCTTCCAACATTATTCTTACATTCTTCTAAGATTTTATTAATTCAAACATGGACATACAAAACACAAAACATAAATACCTAAAACTTCTTTTTGGAAAGCGGCTTACCCCGGGTTGCCTCTTTTTATACAGACATAAATCAAGTTCATACTCACTCAATATACTACCTCATATCTTAATTAACATTCTGTATTTTCTATATATTTTCTCTCCTCTATTCACTCTCATAATTCTATTATATTTATTTCATCTCATTTTAAATAATTATACTTGTATTTTTGTCTGTTTTCTTCAATTATCTATCTTTTCTTTCCAATACAATATTTCTCCTGTAATCACTGGTTGAAGCATGACAACTTTTATCTTTCCCCTAGATTTGATACTTGAAATAATACATACTTTCCATACTGATTCTGCTTAACACAAAGTATAATAATAAAACAAAAATAAAAAAGGGCTTGAGTTTATAGTATGATAGAACAACATTCCACAGAAAATTAAACTCTATTATTTACTCTTAAACATTTTATATATTCCCTTTAATACATTATTAACTCATATAATATTTCAATTTTCTAACTCAATTTCAAATACTAATATCTACAATACAATCTTATATATTTTTGCAGAATCATATATTTTTTAATTTAGATTTTACCCTTTGTCTCTGAAAAAAGCCTTTTTTTAAATCTTGTTTTAAACCTTTATGACTTCTCTTTCCTTTTTCCCTTCCTTTCTTATCAATTCTGATCTTTTTGATCTTTTTGCCCCCCCATCTCTCAAATTCCACTTTTTGAATCTTCCCTCTCTGTTGTGTTTCTCTTTTCTGTTTCTTTCTGGCATTGTATCGATTTTTCATCTTATTTTTCCCTTTCTTGGTTGCTTTTTTAAGTTCTAAATTCTCCCTTTTCTTTCCCCCCTTGTTCTTTTGAGCTGTGATTTTTTGTCCATTAAAGATGGCTTCTCCTTCTTCATCCCAGTCCTCTTGTTCTTGTACTTCTTGGTATGTAAAAATCGCCATTTCCAAAAGAGATCCAAGAGAGCCCTTACCTTCTTGTTTCTCTTGTAGCTTTTGAAATTTCATTTGTAATTCTTGCACAGATAATGCCATTTTATTATTATTATTATTATTATTATTTTTAAAGGAGCAACCCAAATGTTTTTAGTCCTTCAAGGAATAGTCCCCCAAAAATCCCAAAGTCAGAAAGTTACAAAACCATCCAAATCAGAACAAACTGTTCCATTAACACTTTCTTCTTCTTCTTCTTCTTCTTCTTCTTCTTCTTCTTCTTCTTCTT